AAAAAAAAAAAAAAAAAAAAAAAAAAAAAAAAAAAAAAAAAAAGAAAGAAAGAAAGAAAGAGAGAGAAGGAAAGAAAGAAAGAAAGAAAGAAAGAAAGAAAGAAAGAAAGAAAGAAAGAAAATATAGCCAGCTGTGGTGTGCGCTCAGTAATCTCAGCACCCATAAGTGAAGGCAGGAGGATCTAGAGTTCAAGTCCAGCAAGATAGAGCACACCTTTAATCCTATCGTCAGGCACAGGCAGGTGGACGTCTGTGCATTTGAGAGCAGTAGTCTACCTGGTGAGTTCCAGGACAACTAGAGCTACATAGTGAGAACCCGTCTCAAGAGAGAGAAAGAGAACTTAAGGCCATCCTTGCCTATGTAGTGAGTTATAGGCCAGCCTAGGCTACATGAGAACCTATCTCAAACAATTACGACAAAGAATCACGGGCTGGAGAGATGTCTCAGTGGCTTATAACAGTGTACTTGTAAGAGGGTCAGAGTTCAGTTCGGAGTACCAACATCACAGTGGGTTTCATGGCTCAACTTGTCACGAAATTGAGAGGACCAGTTTAGCGCCCCAGTGTACCAATATTCTGAGAGTCCCTGCCTCCAAACATACAAAGAGGAAGAATCAAGAATATTCGTGACTTAGCCAGGCAGTGGTGGTGCACGCCTTTAATGCCACCACTCAGGGAGGCAGGGGCAGGCAGATCTCTGAGTTCAAGGCCACCCTGGTCTACAAAGAGAGTCCAGGACAGCCAAGGCTACACAAAGAAACCCTGTCTCAAAAAACAAAACAAATATATACATACATATCCACTTCCATATGTTGAATGTATATAATCAATTTATTATATTTCTAAGTAATTTAAGAGACGGAGAAGGACCCCAAGCCTTTATTTCCAGGACTCAGGAGGCAGGCGTGTTCCTCTGAGTTCGAGGTCACCGTGGTTCTTGGAGAGTCAGGATTAGAGAGAAACTGTTTCTGAAAGAAAAAAAAAAAAAAAAAAAAAAAAGGCAGCATAACGTCTGTGGCGAATCTGCTGCTGCCAATAAAGAGTTCTGGCGGAGGTCGGCCGGCGTAAGCACTCAATCGCTGGCAAAGTGCGGTGGAGGTGGCCTCTGTCCCGGTGCGGAAAGAACCCAGGATTGCTGAGGTGAGTGGAGGTTCGGCGAGGGCTGGGCAACGGGAGGAGGCGGAGAGTCCCTCAGCAGGCCTGGCGGGACGTGGCCGACGCCATGTTGGAGCCTGGCAGAGGCGGAGGCCGGGAGGTAGGAGAGGGACGGAGGGTTGGGTGGGAAGGCAAACCCCACGAAGGGGCGGGGAGCAGCGTCCAGGCCCTCACCGCGGCGTGGCCGGAGCCTGGAGCTCCAGAAGCCAGCTTCCCACCGACACTTCCGCCCCGGCCTCCTCGGCGCCACTGCGCATGCTTGTGATGGTTTGGCCCTGCCTGGTTCGTCTTCGTTTTGCTTTGGTTTTCCAGAGGAGCTCTTGCCAGTTTCTCAAATTCCTGAGACCTCTCCACCTCCGGTGAGGACTTTTTTTTTCTTTTCTTTTTTTTAAAATGGACATCTCACGTGACCCAGGCTGGCCTTCAACTCACTAGTTATGGATAGGATAACAGACATGGGCTACTTTAGGCCTATAGGCCTAATTAAAAAAAAAAAAGAAGCTGTTAAGTTGATCTCTATGAGTTCAAGGCCAGCCTGGTCTACAGAGCCAGTTCCAGGATAGGCATGGCTACACGGAGAAACCCTGTAGAAACAAAATAACTACCCCCGCTCCCATTGATGGGTTGACACATACAGTGAGGAGGCAGAGGAAGGAAATTAAAAGTTGAGGATCTTTGACTACGCAGGACTCTCTGAGCTAGCTTGGGCTATATGAGACTTTGTACCTTTCTAAGTTCCAGGGTAGTTTCGTTTGAGTTTAAAAGAAATAAAACCCAGGGCAGAGTGCTGAAAATACTGGCAGCTGCCTGGGTGAGGAAGATGGAAAATGAAAGGGCAGGGTATGGTAGCCCAATTCTTTGATCCAAGGCAGAGGCAGGTGTATTTCTGAGTTCCAGGCCAGCTTGGTCTACAGAGCAAGTTCCAGGACAGCTATGGCTACACAGAGAAACCCTGTCTTGAAAAACAAAACAAAAAGAAATAAAGAGACTTTGCTGAGGTCAGCTATGTGTCAGATAGTGTTACATGTGTTGTTTTTGAGGTAGGGTCTCCCTAGGTAGACCTGGCTGGCTTGGGCTCCCTATGAAAGCCAAGGCTGCTCTCACGCGTGCTGGGATCATCGGTGTGTGACACCAATGGTGAGCTGTCTGTAGACTCAGCCCCTGGTTTGACTCCCTCACTGGTCTGCTTCTGAGCTTCAAGATCAGTGGGCCTTTTGTGGCCTGACTTTCCGCACCTGAAGTGATGGTAGAGGCACTCCATCTTGACGGCAGGTGAGAGGAGTTTAGGGGCTTAGCCCAAAACTGGACAACACCTGGGTGCTGAGTACAAGTTTCTGGATTTCCATCAGCGAGGCAGCTGTGCTGCTTGTGAATGAAAAGTTGGTATTATACTTTTTTTTTTAATAACTCAGTAGAAGGCTGTGTAATGTTCAGCTTAGAACTGGCCCATGATGACCTTGGAATTTTTGCCTTTATCCCCTAAATGTTGAGATGACACCATGCACAATTTTTAATCTTTGTCTTAAATTTTATTTTTCCGTGTTCGGTGTTTTGCCTGCATGTATGTTTGTGCAGCATGTGTATGCCTGGTGTTCACAGAGGCCAGAAGAGGGCATTTGGTCCCCTGGGACTGGAGTTGCTGGAGTCGTGAGCCACCCGTGTGGGTGCTGGGCACTGTCCCCGGATCTTCTGCAGGAGCAGCTAGTCCTCGTAACTGATGAGCCATCTCTTTAGCCCCTAGCTTTTTGGTTTTTTTTTTTGAGACAGATAGCACAGACTGGCCTCAAACTTGGGGCAATCCTCCCGCCTCAGCCTCCGGAGTGCTGGGGTTACATGTACACATTATCATGGCCAGGTATAAATACCATTTTAGGGACATGAAAAGATGCTGTTGACGGCAGCGTTTCTCACACTCCCAGTTGTAAACAGCAGATTCCAGCATTGGCTCCAATGGGTTAGTGGGCAGCCAAAGCTTTCTAGAGTGCAAGTTCATTATCATGGCTATAGCGGGGCTCAGTGCAGCCATTCTCATGCCCAGCATGAATGGGTCACCCAGCTAGGAGCTGAGAAGAAAGCTCCTGGCCTTGAGCCCACAGCCCTCAGCATGGGCAATGAAGTTGGTAGCACATGCCTGTGATCCTAGCACTCAGGGTGAGCCAGGAAGATTTGGAGTTGAGGCCTAATAAGGTGAGCCTCACCCTCCACAAAAGGAGTGAAGATACTGCTTTCCAGAGCTGTGGTAAGGGTGGAGCTGCATAGGTGCTTTGTAACGCATTGTTATTGTCTAGAGCATGAGCGACTGGATGCCCATTGCCAAAGAATATGACCCGCTTAAAGCTGGCAGCATCGATGGCACGGATGAAGACCCACACGACCGTGCTGTTTGGAGGGCCATGCTGGCCCGATATGTCCCCAACAAAGGCGTCACTGGAGATCCCCTCCTTACCCTGTTTGTGGCTCGACTGAACTTGCAGACCAAAGAGGAGAAGTTAAAGGAAGTCTTCTCCCGATATGGTGATATCCGGCGCCTGAGGCTGGTTCGGGACCTGGTGACAGGCTTCTCCAAGGGCTATGCTTTCATTGAGTACAAGGAGGAACGGGCCCTGCTGAAGGCCTACCGTGATGCTGATGGCCTGGTCATTGACCAGCACGAGATATTTGTGGACTATGAGCTGGAGAGGACCCTCCGTGGCTGGATCCCTCGGCGGCTGGGTGGTGGGTTGGGGGGGAAAAAGGAATCTGGGCAACTGAGGTTTGGTGGCCGGGATCGGCCTTTCCGAAAACCCATCAATTTGCCAGTTGTCAAGAATGAGCCACATCGAGAAGGGAAAAGGGAAAGGAGGGAGCGATCTCGATCCAGGGACAGACACTGGGACCCCAGGCCCAGGGAACGGGACCATGACAGGGGGCGAGAGAAGCGCTGGCAAGAGAGGGAGCAGGCCAGGGTGTGGCCTGAGAATGATTGGGAAAGAGAGAGGGAGTTCAGGGAGGAGAGGGTCAAAAGCAGGGACAAGAGAGACAGGAGTAAGTAGAGCCAACAGCAGGCAGCGGAGGCCCACCCAGAGGGGAGGGGCTGAGGCATCATCAGGCTGGGGCAGTTCCCTTTCCAGTACAGAACCCAGGCTCATGCACACATGCCGAATCTACCATTGTCATCACACAGACCTAAGCGAGGCCATGCTTTTGCAGTACTGGGGATTGAACTGGAGAGCACAAGCAAGCTAGGGCCACAGATGATGGGAGGGAGAAACAGTAAGAAGTAACCCATTTCGTGTGGAAATAAAAATGTTTTCACGAGCTTGTCATTGCAGCACGTGGGAGCTGGAGGCAGGAGTATCAAATGTAAGAAAGGAGGGATAATAAAGAACTTGTCTTGACTTTCTCAGACCCTTTGAGGTGGGAGTGAATGTGTGGCAGAGGAGATAGTGGCTTAAAACCCTTAAATTGCCTGGTAAGGGCACACCCCTGTCATCCTAGCACTAGGAAGCTGAAGCCAGCCTAGGTTACAAGGTAAGACCCTGTCTCAATAGCCTACAAGAACTAGACAGTACTGACATTGACTCCTGGGATGCACGGTCTTTTCCTTCATGTTCGTAGCCCCAGGGTCTGATGAACTGAAAAGGTAGGGGGGGGGGGGAAGTGCTAGAAAAGCCAGACCCAAGTAGGAATGTTCCAGCCTTTAATAACCAGACAGCAGGCTGAGCATCTGGGTCAGCAGGCAGCTGCTGACAAGTCCATGTAACCCACTCCCTGCAAAAATGCTGACTGTCAGCCTTCTTCCCCGGCTGGCATTTAAAATGAAAAGCAGTCTTGCAGGGCTGTGATCTGTAACTGACTTTGAGCCTTTGGAAAAGATAAATCTCAGCAGGAATGAGATGAAAGAATGGGGAGGGGCGAGATAGACTACCTGGGACTAGTCTGTGGGGCCAGTGTTCCCTTTTACTTACTGTCTGGTTTCTGGTTTGCCGGACAGCTGGCTTCTGGGAACTTGAAATGAATCAAAGACTGCTCTGACTTAAAAAAGAAATGCCACTTAACCAGGCACAGTGCAGCACGCCGTTAATCCCAACACCTGGAAGGCAGTTGGATCTGTATGGAATTCCAGGTCCTGTTTCAGTCAGTAACCATACTGCCATTGGAGAATTAGCAAGGTGGTGTAGAGCATAAAAGCACATGCCACACTGGCTGTGCTTTTAAGAGCATTTAAGAGCACTTGCTGTTCTTGAAGACGACCTGGGTTCTGTTCCCAGTACCACACACATAGTGGCTTATAAACCTCTGTAAATTCCAAATTCCAGTTCCAGGGGATCTGATACTCTCTTTGGGCCTTAGGCACTAGAGGTGTATGTGTAGACACACACAAATAAAAAGTCTTTTTTTTTTTTTTTTTTTAAAATGGTCACACAGCCCTGCCTGACCTTAGATTCTCAGAACCTATGGTTGATAGAATCAACTCCTGAAAGTTGTCATGTTAACTCCACATGTGCACCATGGCACACAGATCACCCATACATGTAATAATAAAAGTTGCTATCAGAACCAGGTATGAGGCACAGGGCTGCCAACCTAGCACTTGGGAGACACGGGACTGTTCAGAGTCTGAGGCCGGCTAGGGCCATATAACAAGACCCCAGCTCAAAAACCAACACAAAACAAATTGCTAGCCAGGCATGGTGGCCCACGCATTTAATCTCAGCACAATGAGAGGCAGAGGCAGAACTCATTTTGAGTTCAAGGCCAGCCTGGTCTACAACAGAAGTCCAGCATAGCTAGGGCTAGACAGAGAAGCCCTGCTTCAAAAAACAAAGTTGTTATAGGATTCTTTTTACCTCCTTGCTTTCAAGAAGGAGCTAGAACTTCAGATGTCACTTACTGGAGCCAAACTGAGTGCTCTAGGCATGTACCCTCTTGCTCAGTTTCACCTCATTTCTTAGCACAATGCACAGGGCCTGGCTCCATCCATCATATGCTCTTAGGAAGTAGTGCCCTCTGAAGCTGCAAACCCTGAGCGATTGTACATCAGGAAGTACACGGGCTAGCCTCCAGCTTCTCCAGTGGCATGGCAACTGTGGGTCAGCTGGACATGTGGTCCTCAAGCCCCTGCCTACCCAGTGCCCTTCCACCCATACATCTGTCTGTCCTCATCTGCCAAGGGCATATCACCCAGGCTCCAAGAGGCTGGCATCCAGTCCACTTAAGGGCATAGTCTTCTTTGCATAGGACCCAGTATTCAAAATACAAAATACATTTAAAAAAAAGGGGGGGGGAGTAAGAAAGGAAAAACGCACACAGGAAGCACACCAATGTCTCATCCTAAACAACTTTGTTTGGTTAGTACTGTGTAGCTCACAGCAGATTTCAAGGCACACCACCTCAGACAGGCTGCTCAGGCCTCTAGCCTTAACAGGAACAGCGAACCACAGTCCACAGTTGTTTCTAGTCCGTGGCTGGAAGGACTGTGAAGATTTTCTGTTTTGTGTGGCCCATCCTGTGACTAGAGGCTCCACCAATCCAGTCCACACACTGTACAAACTGCTCCCTCCAGGGCAACTTCACAATATAAAACTCTCCTTCCACTGCTCCTCACTAACATGGCAAAGGCCCTAACCAAACCAAACCAAACTAAACCTAGGAGTCAAACAGCCATGGTAGTGTTCAGCTTAGGAAGCTTGTTAACTAAAATTAATGTGGTCTGGCTTCAGATCCTCACCTTATTAAATATAGGTCCTAAGAGGTCTGAGGCATTGAGTATAAACCGGATAGCCCTGCAGATAAATAAAACACTTCTGTAGGATTTGGCATCAGTTTCTCATCATCTACCCTCAAAGCAGACAGTTCATTTGAGGGCTGGATGTTGAGGCGGCCACCCGCAGCAGGTGGCAGGCGGGTCCGGGGTGGGGCACAGTCACAGGTGCTGCAGGGCTTCCTGTCCTTGCTCTGTGTACCCGTCATCTCGGTGGGTATTTGCCCACTGGCCAAAGGACTCGTGGATGTGCGTGGGTCTCTGCGTGTTGGCCAGGCGCCTCTTGTCCCGGGAGAAAAAGCTAAACCTTTTGGAAGGGGAAAAAAGAAAAGCAAAAGTGGAAATAAGTGCTTGTCCTCTGCTGTGCTACCTACCCCCTCTTCCAATGCTGGGACACACAGGGCCAAACAGAGGGGAGCAGATCCATTCTTAGTACGGGGGATGCAGACAGCAGACTTCTAGGAAACAATGGGGCTTCTGTGTGTCCTTTAGTCCCCCTTAGTGATCACAAAGAATGAGTCGTTTGCATGTATGTGATGGGGGTCCGGGATACTTCCACCTAGCCACTTGTAGGGGCTCTCTCCTGTAACTACTAGAAAATAAAATCCACTCACATCCTCGCAAAGGCAAGGTGAGCACACTATAGCTCAGCTCAGGAACTCATTTTCCCCCCTCATTTTTAGATGGCTTTTGGGCTTTAGATAGTTCAAGTTGGCTTCCAAATTCATCACACAGCAGAGGATAACCTTGAACTTCTGATCCTTCTGACTCTACTTCCCAAGTACTGAAATTACAGGCATGAGTCACCAGGCCCAGTTTTATGAGCTGCTGGGGATCGAACCCAGGGCCTGTAGGCAAGCTAGTCAAGCACTGTACCCACTGAGCCAGTACTCGTCTAAGAATTTCTTTAATCAGTTTAATGACTCTTCGGAAGAACCTGAAAGTTATGAGGAAGATGGTTCTGAGGCAATCCCATTCCTAGCGTTCAGTCACTCGCCAGTCATTGATGTGTATGAATGAAGTGTGCCGGCAGTCAAGTGAAATGGCTCCTTTATGGAGGTGAGAGGACAAACGGTGGCAGTCAGTCCACTCGGTCCACTGTGTGGGCCCCAGAAGCTGAACTCGGGTCCTCAGCTTTGATAGCAAGGGTCTCAACCCCCTGAGCCATCTTGCCATTCCTCATAATCACACATGAAGTATTCTGCTACGAACCACAGTTCCAGCCCTTTAATCTTTTTCAGTAAGCTAACTGTGTGTGTGTGTGTGTCTAAAGTCAGTTTGAGGAAATTGGTTCTCTTCTTCCATTCCGTCTTAGGTCCCAGCCATTAAACTTAGGTCAGCAGCAGCCTCCCAGCCCTTTAGTAATAATCTGAAGGTTTTGCCATATCGCCCAGGCTGGCTTTTAACTTGTGATCCTCCTGCCTCAATGGCAGGTGGTCACGCTTGGCAGCAAGCCCCTTTGCCTGCTGAGCCATCCTGCAAGTCCCCTGACTCTGTTTGAGACAGGGTCTTGTTCCCCTCTGCTATGGCCAGCACCTCTCTCCTGGGCCGAAGGAGAGCTGGGAGAGCACACTCATGCGCTCGAGCTCCTGAATCTGACTTTACATGGGTCTTGGAGATCTCAGGGCCTCTGTTGCTGGTACCAACAAAGCCGTCTTCCCAGCCCCATGGGTTTTGTTACAACCACATCTAATGAAGAGGGTTTTACTCTTCCAGGGCACTACTGGAGCTGCACTCCCTTTCTAGCGGGAATAAGAACACTCTTTCATCCTCAAGCCAAGTTCACCTGGGGAAATTCTCTAGGGCTTTGAAAGTTAAGTGCGAGCTGGCAAGTAAAGGCGAGGGCTCACACTCAACAGGAGAGGGCTCTTTCCAACACAGAGCAGCTGTGGAGTTAGCCAGCCCAAACCCTGCAGCCCGGTGCCTGTTAGGTCTCAGCCTGACTACGAAAGCCACCTGCTACTACACACTGGGAGGGGATGCAGATACCAGCCCCGCCCCCCCTCTGCACCAAACCAAACAGCTGCCAACACAAAGCTGTTTAGGAAGCTTCAGGCACAGGGACTGAAAAGCAGTTAGTGACACTCCTGGATCCCAGGGGGACATCAATTACTGACCCGTCAGTTAAAGGACCTTCTTTACTGCATCATGGACAAGGTGGTTTTTAGAGCGAAAACAGAAGAGACAAAAAGAATTATCGGTGACATTCCGGGCTGCACTCGTGGAGGTCAAGAGCAACACACTACTCCATACCCACTTGAGATGCCAACAAGCAGGTGGCGGCCATGCAACTGAAGTGGCCAGAAGGGAAAGGCTGGCAGCAGCCACAGCAGCCATTCGAAAGGCAAAAAAAAAAACCCCAAACACAGACAGTGCCTACGAGGGACACGAGTCTTGGGACAGGCTGAAGAGTGGGGTCGTCAAGGATCAATCCAGCTGCCACCATGGGCATGACGGCTGTAAAGAGCCTGCTTCCAGAAGCAGATAGACAGAGGAGATAAAAGGAGGGCAGTGTGACCAAGAAACCCAACCCCCCCCCCCCGAAGACCCCGCTGAGAGTTGCGCCTATGGTCTGTGCGATGGAGACAGGCCCCCCGCGTTCCTCAGTATGTGACCCATGGAGACACAGGGTGCTCCTGAGGAGGGCATGGGGGAGGAGAGCGCCCAATCTCAAACGCACTGATGACCTTGCCATATGGGGAGAAGTTCGGACAGACATGGACGAGGTGATGGACCTTTGGGAAGGTGACCTAGGGAAAGCCAAAGGTCACTAACCCCAAGAGGACAAGCAACCTAGGACAGTCTCTAGGACTGATGGTGCTGACAGGCAACTTGTCCTTTGTTTTGTTTTGTTTTGTTTGAGACAGAGTTTTTCTGTGTAGCTCTGGCTGTTTTCAACTCTGTAGACCAGGCTGGCCTCGAACTCACAGAGATCTACCTGCCTCTGCCTCCCCAGTGCTGGGATTAAAGGCCTGTGCCACCACTGCCTAGCAGTCTTTATCCTAAGCTGGCCTCAAACCCACTATGTAGCTGAGGCTAGCTTGAACTCCTGATCCTTCTGCCTCTACATCTCCCTGGGCTGGGCATGCACTGCCACAACTGACCTTATACATCATTCACAAACTCAGCTAAATCACAGTCATCACCAGCACTGAAGATACAACACTTTCGTGGTCTCCTGTGACGTTTGTGGAGTTCTTCCCTGGGTTTACATCTTAGTGCCCATCAAAGAGGAACTGGGAGCCACAGCCCACCCACAGGGAAGGAAGGGTACTTTTCTTCTGCTGGTTGCTGGCACAAGAGGCTTTGGGGTCTCCAAGCTTTGCACCCACCTTCTTCGGAAGACCCACTCAGAGCCCTCTGGCCCTTAAACAAAGTCACTAAAAATCAGGCAGCCTCAGATTCCATGGAGAGTCTCTGCTTGGAGGGGTGTCTGCCCACCTACAAATACAGGAGCCCCAGGGATGGCAAGAGGTCACCTGAACATCCCAGCCAGATGGTCCCTTTCTGTTGCTTTTGGGTCACTTGCAGAAGTCCCACCTCTAGAGGTGTAAGAGAAATGAAGATCATCTTCTTTTTAAATAAGGTCTGCTAGAACAGACACACACATACATATGTATATAATTTAAAAAAAATTTTTTTATGTTTGAGCCAGGCAATGGGGGCACGCGCCTTTGATCCCAGGACTCGGAAGGCAGAGCAGACGGATCTCTGTGAGTTCAAGGCCAGCTTGGTCTACACATTGAGTTCCAGGACAGGCGGGGCTACTCAGAGAAACCCTGTCTTGAAACACAGAACCCCCTCCCCAATTATGTTCATTAGTATCTTGTCTGCAGGTATGTCTGTGTGAGGGTGTCAGAAGCCCTGGAACTGGAGTTACAGATAGGTGTGAGCTGCCATGTGGGTGGTAGGAACTGAACCCAGGACCGTTAGAACCCCTGGAAGAGCAGCCAATGCTCTTAACCACTGAGCCATCTCTGCAGTCCTGAAATGAAGATACTCTCAGGATGGCCGATAATAGGGGGGCCCACACCTTTACCAGGGCTGCTTGGATATGCCAATTTGTTGCCTTCTATTTAAACCTTACCCTGATTTCAGGACCCTGAAAATGGATTTGTGTGTGTGTGTGTGTGTGTGTGTGTATCTGTCTGTCTGTTTCTGTCTGTATGTGTGTGCCTTTGTGTGTGTGTGCACCTCTTCTCAATGTGGCCACAATGAATAAACTGAATCTCCCTTTTCTGCTCTTCATTATTAAATTGGCTCTTAAACTCAGCTTACTGAAGACAGGTGGCTGAACCTGGCTTGCTGGAGCACAGGCTGTGGCCCAATTCAGTAACAGAGGGTCAGCCATTCCCAGGACTGCTGGGCCAAACTGCATATTAAATACGGTGGACATGGTTTATGCCTTTATATCGGTTGGGTATTTTTGGAAGGTTTAAACCAAATGAAATGCTAACTCCTGGCATTTTATGGGTGGCTTTGAAGAAACTATTCCTGGCTGAGGAGGGGTGTGGGAGTAGGAGGCCAGGGACAGAACATATTGTCGTCTTTACTGTTGCAGACAGAGGCGGAGCCTACTCCGAGGCCAGCCTTTCCGGTCCCTAAGGCCAGCTACTGCTTTCCTGTCTCCCTCCAGACCACCCCCTCCTGGTTCTGCCCAGTGGCAAGACATCCTGTGCACGTGTGGGATCAACCAGGAATGGGGACTACACAAAAGGGACACTGGTGTTTGGGGTTTGCTGGGGACAAGGCTGAAGTCACTTGAGGCTCCCTTGTGACCTCCCCGGGCTGCGCCAACCTATCCTTTCAGGCCAGTGGCCTCCCAGTCACAAGCTATTCTTGGACCATCTTCAGACTCGCTGTTTTGACTGGCAGTGGGGAATTCTGTTTCCCTTGTTGTGCCCGGCCCAGAAATGTCGAGTCTGACGTCTTGGACTCAGGGTGCATTTGAGTGATAAGGGACTGGGCAGTCAGCCACTAGCTGGGACATGGGGATGTGAGAGAGGAAGGGAGGAAGTCTGTATGGACAAACGACCCAGTTCAGAGGCCCAGCTTTGAGTCTCCCCAATTTGAATACAGATTTGAATGAAGTATGTAGCATCCCTGGGCCTCAGTTTCCTCATCAGAGAAATGGAGATAATTGTCCTGGCTCCACGACTCTGACCCAACTCAAATGGTGATCTTTTTTAACTATGCCTGGTGGTTCTTCATTAGCTGTTGGGTGACAGAGGTGGGCTGAGAGCAGAGGGTCCCAGCTGCACGTCAAACACAGTCCAAAGGTGAAGATGAAGGGGACAAACAGAGGCTACATACACTATGGAGAGGAAAGCTGTCATAGGCCGCAGATCTCAGCCAGCAGCCGAGGAGGACAAAGACTACCACTGTGCTGGTCAAAAGCCTTTTGTGCCCAATAGCTGCCCCCGTCACCCCTCGGAAACTGGCTGCCACAGAAGTGGCCACCTGTGCAGTGTGGACAGGAGGTGGGGCCTCGCTCTGTCTCTGTTCCTGTCTCTCTGGAGTTGATAACCCTGTCAGGCTCAGAGCACCAGGTGTTGCCAAGCAACCTGAGGCAAAGCTGATGAGGAGAGGGGCTTTGGGAAGGGAACCATCTGGAAGAATGCAGCAGATGCTGTGGCCTGGTCATGGGCTGAAGCCGATCATTGTGGAAAGAAAATAACTTTAAAAAATGTGTGTGTGTGTGACATGAGAGGTGTTTGTGTGTGATGGGATGTGTGGGGCGCCTCTAGGTCAGAAGACTGACTTTGCGGGGTCAGTTCTGCCCATTTTATGTGGGTTCTGGGGAACTGAACTTAGTAGGTCCGCAGACTTCTTGTGTTTTATCTGCTAAACCATCTCACTGCTCTCTGTTTCATTTTTCTTTGTTTGTTTTTGTTTTTTTGAGACAGTTTCTCTTTGTAGCCCTGGCTGTCCTGGACTCACTTTGTAGGCCAGGCTGGCCTTGAACTCACAGTGCTGCGCCTGCCCCTGCCTCCTGCTGCTTGGTTTTTCTAACACTAAGTTCTCCCACTTTGACCTTCTGCATGCTTCATGCAGGATATGCTGACGTAGCAGGCTGAAAAGCGCCCTGCTTCACACAGAGGAGTCATGTTTTTGTTGTTTTGGTCTTTTAGATGTGGTTCCAATCTCTAGTCTTGGTGGCTCTCAAACAAGTGGCAGTCCCCCTGAGTGCTGGAGTGACAGATGTGAGCCACCACCACGCCCAGTGAAAATAGAATCCTAGGCTGATGGTGGCTACCCTCAGAAGTCCAGGGTCTGAGTCTGAAGGAACATAGTGAGGGATAAAACCCACACACAGGGAGTCAGGCACACTGGCAGGAGACGGCTAGTCCCAAGGCTGGACCAGGCTGGCAATCCTGGACTTGCACAATTCTTTCTCTTCACTTCTCTGAGAAGAATTTTGATGGCAGATGAAAAATAAACCCATGGTCAACAGTGCTGGGACTTCAGGGGAGCTTTTCTGATTCTGTGCCCCAGAAGAATTTATTTGTATCTTAGAAGAACTCCCCCAAACCCAGCAGGGGCGTAGGGCCTGGCTGGCCAGCTCAGAGGGGCATGGCTGGCTAAAGCCGGGCATTCCAGGAAGCTGCCTAGCTGTTGGGCCCAGTGTGAGCGGGATGTCACCTCCCAAGGGAGGGGGCTTCTTCGTACAAACCAGCCCACATTCCATCTGCTCAGAACTAGGCCAACAATTTCCCAGCATGGTTGCTGGATTTTAAAGGCCCACTTCCTCTCCCCACCCCCCACACATGTTGCCTGCTGGTTCAACGCTTCTGTTGAGTTAAGGAGAGAAGGCCAAAGGCCTCTTCTGTAAAAATAGACAAAAGGCCCACGTCCAGGGAGCCCCTTTCAGGCTGTGACACCCCTGAGAACTCAAGGTGGGTTCTGGAATACAGTACTCTGGGGCCAGGCTACCTTAGCAGGGCTCTGTCTCCTACAGTGGTACAGCCACGGCCAGGTGTCTCAGTTCCTTCAAGGGTCCCATTAAAATGACAGTCTTCCACATATTAGTACCAGATGACCTACAAGGCCATCCTAGGTATAGGAGTTGACCCAAAGCAGGCTCTGGATGGGCCCTCGGATCTTCTAAATTAAACAACATCCCACGCCTCTATTCTTTTCCAAGGAAAATGTCTACACACTTCCATGAGAACCAAGGAGATCTACAATGCCAAGCACTCCCGGAGGGGCTTAAGGTCTTGCTGATGCCAGGAGCTATGTGCTTCCTTTGGCAGGTGTAGCGACCGGGGCCTTGAGTCTGCATGTATGTGGCACCAAGATACCAATGCAGACATACCAGCTCACAAAGCTGGTATCATCTGATTCTGTGTATCATCACAGAATCCAAAATGGGGTAGACCTAAGGCACTCTCGATTTTTTTTTTTTTTTTTTTTTTTAAACACATTTCTGGAGCCAAAGCTGGTGTTGAACTTACTGTGTAGCCCGGGATGACCTTGAACGCCTGGTCCTCTTGTCTCCACCTCCTGAGCGCTGGGATTCAAGCATGGTCCACTACACCTAGCTACTTAAAGCTGACATTTCGAGCTCTGAGAATGCAAGAGCTTCCCTACCCTCAACCTACTCACTGTGTGTCCCAAGCCTGGCTGCACGTCCCATGCACCTGGCACACCCAAGCAAGCTCTGGGCACCAGCCACAGGCCCCAGCCCCTCCCAGCCTTCCAGGTGCTCCCCAAATCTCTGTCCAACGACTCCAAGAAAAACTGGCTGTCCAGGCAGGGAGACGACCAAAAGGCGGAAGAGGCAATGCCATGGGGCAGGAGCAGTTTGGCTCAGTAGTTGTGGTTAGCAGTAAGCTTGAGAGAAAGTGCCCAGACCTGGAGTCAGGTCACAGGAACCCAGATGAGCCACCTGTGGCACAGCCCATTTAAGGAAGCACAACACTTACAGTCGCTTGATCCCAGACTCCGGTGGGAGGGACGTCCTTGGGTGTATGATGGGCGGAGGTGGGGGTATTCGATTCTCCTCTTCTATTTCTTCACTGAAGGCATGCAACAGAGAAGTCAAAACATTCTGTGAGAACTAAAACATTTTAAAAGCAGATAGAATGGTTTGGTAGGGTACAAACTTTCTTTTTTTTCATTCATTCATTCATTCATTCATTCATTCATTCATTCATTCATTCTTTCTTTTTTCAAGACAGTGTTCTCTGGAGAGCTTGTAGACCAGGCTGGCCTCAAACTCACAGAGATCCACCTGCCTCTGGCACCCGAATGCTGGATTACGGGTGTGAGCCTCCACACCCGGCTCCCAAAACTTCTTTATGGGAAATAAGGTACTTGGAAAGATGGCAACTGAAGTCTCTGTTAGCACACTCCGCCACATCTACAGATAGGGATTCATGTCTGAACTCTCATGCGTGTGGGTGCTTGTGGAGGCCCAAGGCTGATGGGGACCATCCTCTACCCTCTCCCACCTTACTCCCTGAGGCAGGGTCTCTCCTTCTAAGCCTGAGCTCTTGAGTGAGGGTAGTCCCACTAGCCAGCTTGCTCTGCTACAATGTCAGGCGGGCCACATACCATCGTGGCATTTACACGACTTCTGAAGATCTGAGATCTAAATTCACACTTGAGCTGCACCATCTCCAGGCCGACACCTGTCCCTTCTTGGTTTTGATTTTCTGAGACAAGATCTCATGTACCCAAGGTGGACCCTGAACTTTATACACAGCAAAAAATGATGAAAACCTCCCCACCCTCTAGTCCAGTTGTTCTCAACCTTCCCAAAGCTGCGACCTTTTAGTTCCTCATGTTGTGGTGACTCCAACCATGAAATTATTTTCACTGTTACTTCAAAACTGTCATTCTGCTACTGCTATGAATCATAGTGTAAATATTTTTGGAGATAAAGGCTTGCCAAAAGGTCTCTCACACACTATCTGACACTTTCAGTTTAGGTTTTTTGTTTGTTTGTTTGTTTTTTGAGACAGGGTTTCTCTGTGTAGCCCTGGCTGTCTCGGAACTCACTCTATAGATCAGGCTGGCCTCCAACTCACAGAGACCTGACTTCCTCTGCCTCTCGAGTGCTGGGAATAAAGTCATGGGCTACCATGCCCAACTATTTTATTATTCCTATTTGTGAGTGAGTGAGTGTGTGTGTGTGTGTGTGTGTGTGTGTGTGTGTGATAGGATACAAAATTTCTTTTTCCTTTTTCCTTTTGTTTTTTAAGATAAGTGCTTGAGGCAAGAGGGTGTTAGATTCTTCAGAGCTGGAGTCACAGGTGGTCGCAGGTTGGCTGGTATGGGTGCCAGGAATTGAACCCGGATCCTCTGTAAGAGCAGTTAGCAATCTCACCCTTGTAGCCATGTCTCCAGCCCGTCTTTTTTATTTTTGAGGCAGGGTCTCTCACCGATTCTGGAGCTCAGGGATTTGACTACGCTAGGTGCCAGCCCACACCAGCGATCTACTTATATCCATCTCCCAGGGCTGGGATAGCAGGTGGGAACCAGGGCACAAGGATGGCACCTGAACCCCAGGTCCTCCGTGTCACAATGTAATCTCTTCACAGACTGAGCCGTCTCCCTAACTCAGGACAGACATCTTGGCAGTTGAAAGGCTTTCTGATTGTTCTTTTTTGTTTCTTTTCTTCCACTAATGTACTTGTCAAGATATGCAACAGCCCGCCCTGAGGCTGTGTGACCTTTATGCCATCTATAGGAATGCTGGACCATCTGACACACAGGCCAGGCTGGAGTTTGTTTCACGGTGCCTGCTCTCACCTCTTGTAGTAGGCCAGCTCCTCTTGTAACAGAAACACCTTGGACTTAAGCTCATTCCTCTCGTGCAGTACATCCCGCAGCTCCTGCAGCGTGAACCGTGGGCGGTTGGGGTCCTTGAGGTCCAGGGCTGCTTTCTCTGCATCTGAGATGGACTCCTCTCCGTCTGGCTGTGGCTGCCCCTGAAGCAGACAGAGAAGCCATCATCAAAGGACTCCTGACAAATGCCCACCCCACACCCCGAGGATGCCGGGATTTTCCACCTCTCTGTGGTAGGCGGCTTGCTCAGGTCACTTTTCTTCTCAGTATCTGAGCAGCAGCCTCCGCTTACCTTCTATACAGAGATAGCCAGCCGCCGCCTGTTCAGCGAGCTCCCCCTTTCAGCTAGCCCCGAACCCCGGACTCCCACTCTGCTCGGGGCTCTATTGCAAACAAGCAGAGGCGTCGCTCCCGCTGTGCCTCCCACCGCCACCCTCCACCATCTGTTGCTCTTTCTCCTGCAGGCTCCCCTCCCATAGTCTCACTTCAGACCTCTGCTGATCCAGTCAGCGTGTGTGCAAAGCCTAGACTTGCTCTTGGTTCCATTTTTCTTGTTGTTATTGTTGTTTGATTTGATTTTGGTTTTTCAAGACAGGGTTTCTCTGTGTAGCCCTGGCTGTCCTGGAACTCACTTTGTAGACCAGGCTGGCCTCGAACTCACAGAGATCTGCCTGCCTCTGCCTCCCTCAGTGCTGGGGTCACAGGCATGCACCAACTGCGCCTGGCTTGTTTCCACTTTCAATTAACAAGTCATGTCATTTCTGTGACAGACTCTGGTCAGATCCCTTTTTCATTAATGGCTCCTGGCGTCTTGTTAGGTTCAGAGCCTGACAGGGGGCGTATCTGTCCTTAAGGCAAGTTACACAGACAGACCTTCCTGTCTGCCCTGCGTTGGATCACAACCTGCCCTCCCATTTCCCTCCGGAGCCTGGAAGCCTTTCAGAGAAATTGTGGTAAGACACACAAAGCATGAGTGTTCTCCATTTCAAAGCACAGCAGCTGAGTGTGTTGGCGCATGACTCTAGTCCCGGAACGTGGGGGACTGGGGCAGGAAGGATGCCTGGAGTTCAAGGCTAGCCTGAGCTATGTGGTGACTTTCGAGGCAGTCTGACCCACACAGTTAGTTTGAGGCAAGCCTGGGCTACATAGTGGGTATGAGGCCTGTCTGTATTATATAGAGACTTGAAGTTACCCTGGGATACAGCATGAGACCTAGTCTTAAGAGAGAGAGAGAAAAGACAGACAGAAAGGAAGAAAGAAACAGGAAAGAGAAAAATAAAGAGGAAGGCAGAGGCGGGTGGATTGATGCGAGTTCGAGCCAGCTTGGTTTACAAAGTGAGTCCAGAACAGCTGAGGCTACACAGAGAAACCCTGTCTCGAAAAACCAAATAAATGAAAGAAAAAAACCCAGCTGTTTCATTCATTCATTCATTCCACTTAGCACTTTTCTACTGCTACTTCCAGAACATTCTCATCATCCAAAAGAAATGTCCCACAGTCACTAAGCAACCAACCTTCGCTCTGCCCATTTCAGTCTCAGCCTCTGCAGGAAGCCTGCTCTCTTGTCTCTCTGGACTGTCCTACCTGGACATTTCCTATAATGCATTTGCTTCATTTAATCAAGATTGTGTTTTGTGCATCTGCCAGAGATTCATCCTCCCCCCCCTAAAGATTTATTTATTTATTATGTATACAATGTTCTGCCTGCATGTACACCCACATTCCAGAAGAGGGCACCAGATCTCATTATAGATGGTTGTGAGCTACCATGTGGTGCTGGGCAAATTGAACTCAGGACCTCTGCAAGGGCAGCTGGTGCTCTTAACCTCTGAGGCATCTCTTCAGCCCAAGATTCATCCCTTTTAAAGACTGGATAATAGTCCACAGAATTGAAGATGTGCACGGTCTCATCCTATGATTGATGGCTTCTTCTCTTTAGACATGAATCCCCATATCCAATCCCCTGGTGGGACACCTGTCTTCCATCCCTGAGAATGTGGCCAGGTGTGAACAGCTGGGTCTCAGGGAGACTCTGTTTTTAACTTTCTGGATTCTCTTTTGTGTACCAAAGCACTTCCCACAGTGGAAACGCTGCTTTATGCTTGAAGCAGCCACGGGTCCCTATTTCTTCATTCTCCCCCCAACATTTGCCACTTTCTATATATTTGTTTACTCATCCATTTATTGAGTGTATCTATGAGTGTGCTACACAGTGTGGTGGTCAGAGGACAACTTGGGGGAGTCAAGTCTTTCCAGCATGTGAGTCCTGGGTACCAAACTCCAAGTGTTAGACTTGGCAGCAAGCACCTTTACCTTCTGAGCCATCTTGCCAGCCACTTGACACAGGCTAGAGTTATATGAAAGGAGGGAGCCTCAACTGAGAAAAGGCTGCCATAAGATCCAGCTATAAGGCATTTTCTTGATCAGTGATTGATGGGGGAGGGCCCAGCCCATCGTGGATGGTGCCATTCCTGGGTTGGTGGTCCTGGGTTCTATAAGAAAGCAGGCTGAACAAACTATGGTGAGTAAGCCAGAAAGCAGTACCCCTCCATGGCCTCTGCATTAGCTCCTGCCTCCAGGTTCCTGCCCTGACTTCATTCAATGATGAACAGTGATACAGAAGTATAAGCCGAATAAACCTTTCCTCCCCAGCTTGCTTTTGGGCATGGTGTTTCATCACAGCACTAATAATCCTAACTAAGATACTGGCCCAGCTGGACACAGTGGCACACACCTGTAATCCCAGCACTCAGGGAGGCAGAGGCAGAGGCAGGCGGATCTCTGTGAGTTTAAGGACAGGCCTGATCTACAAAGCAAGTTCAGGACAGCCAAGGCTACACAGAGAAACCTTGTCTTGAAAAACAAAAACAAACAAACAAAGACACTGTCCCATTATTTTATTTGAGACATGTTCTCATTATGTAGCCCAGGCTGGCTGGAACCTACATCAATTTTTCTGCCACAGCCTCTGGAATGCTGGGGTGACATGTGAGCTCCACTGAACACCCCTTTCTCTCCCTCCCTTCCCCTTTCCTTGGGATATCCTGACATTGCACATGCCACACAAGGCATACCACGGAGCCAGCAAGCAAATCCAAGTGGTCCATTTCTTCAAGGCCACCCAATATCTGACACCCAAGAGCCTCCAGGGTTAGTGTACACTGAGGCAAGGATTCTCTAGAATACCGATTCTCAACCTGTGTGGCCCAACTCTTTGAGGGTTGAGCAATCTTTTCACAGGGGTCACCTAAGACATAGCAAAAACAGTTATGAAGAAGCAAGGAAAATAATTTTATGGTCGGGATTATCACAACATGAGGAACTGTATTGAAGGGGTGCAGCATTAGGGAGGCTGAGAACTGCTGATCTCAAATGAGAAGGCAGAGGTGGACAACACCCCCCACCCCAGCCCCTCAGTCCCACAGGGAGAAGCAGACGATGTCTCAAGGCCCAGAGGCCAAGGGCTCCAAGACGCTGAGCTGAGATGCATCACGTCCTGGACAGGCTGTTCTAGGGAAGGGACAGCTGAAAGGAGACACCGCCTGCCAGGCAGGTCAGCTGAGGGTGGGGCGGGATCTGCCCACACCTACAGTTGGAGCCGGAGCCACTGCAAAGAGGTGAGCAGCAGAAGAACCATGACGCCTGTTTCCCCACAGGCCACTCAGTATCTCAGATTCTCTTCCCAGATAGGTGACCCCACACGGTTCGACTTTTCTCCCCAGCTGGTTGCAGCCTGTATCGAAGCTTCATGTCTTTTCATGGTTGTGTAATATTTTACTGTGAGGCAAACCTCTATCCAGTATTATCCGTGACTACTACACCACTGGGGACTGGCCTCCTACTCTTGACAGTGTCCTCCACTAAAGGGCAGACAGCATTTTGAAAAGCCATCTGTGCCTCACTGTCATTGAACTCAGACCGAACAGCAGGATCAAGAGAGAGACACACAGACTCGAATAAGTGAGGATCAAGGGAGAGGTTCCTGGGAAGGTGTTCCCTGTGCATGGGGTGCTGATGTGTAGGAGTTTCCTGCCAGCTCTCAGCACCAGGGGCATAGGCCAAAGGTTGCACAGTGGAGTTCCTAGGGCCACACAATATTCCCTACATTTGTTTAGACCCCTGCTGTGCCAGAAAATCTGAATGAGGCATCAAATGTTTTAAGATCTGCAGACTCAAATTAAACCTTCCTGCCTCAGCCTCCCTGGTGCTGGGTTCACAGGTGTATACCATCATGCCCCAGTGAACCTAGTGATGTTCCTAAGGCCTCTTTCCACTTAATATGCAGGGCCCTCTTGCTCCCCAGTAGTGTTGCAGGATATTTGATCCCATTGTGAACCCTGAGGTTGTGAACCCTAAAAACCTGTTTCTTGTTTGGTGTGGTTAAGCCCTAACACACCTTTAGTCCAAGAGCTTTCTGAACACAGAAACTCTAGGTCAAGAGGCGGAAGAAACCAGCTGACAGGGATTAAATGGAATGGAGGGCCATTGAGAGAAGACCATTTAAGACAGTGTGAAGAAGGAGTTTTTTGGCTTTTAGCTTTTGGCTTTTTCCCCCTGGGCTGTTGTGTGAGCTAGCAAGCTTTTGGTTTTTGGCTTTTTCCTTTGGGATGTGAGCTGAGAAAGTTAGGTGGGTGCTTTCTCTGCCTCTCTGAACTAGCAGGTTTTCACCATCTGGCTCCTGAGTCTTCATTGGTAAAATTAAACAGTTGGGATTTTTTTTTTTTTTTCATTATAACAACACAGTAGTTGCTGTGTTCAGCCAAAACACAGAGAGCTGGGTCTAGAGAGATGGCTCATTGGTTAAGATCACTGGCTGGTCTTTCAGAGATCCCAGGTTAAATTTCCAGCACCCACATGCTGTTTAGAACTGTAGTCTCATGACATCTGCCACCCTCTTCTGGTGTGAAGACAAAACAGCCATAATAAATAGACAAATAAATCTTAAGGGGGGAAAAAAGACACAGAGAGTTCCCTGTGATCTGGAGCAGGGTCAGCTTTTGTGGTAAGAAGCATTAATTCCCTAGAGCTTAGCCAGGTGTGTGGTAGTTTTGCCTCTGGAGTGTGGGGAGAACCGGGGTTCTACTGGCTACGACTCCAGCCCGTGGGCAGCAGGAGCAAGGCCCGTTCCAGCTGGAAAGCCTGT